TGATGAATTTTAAAGAAATTAGTAATTCTACTCAAAATTTGATTCAATGAATTTATTTTCTGTCATTTATTTCCATCTTATGCCAACACCAGATAAAATATCCAAATTTTCAATGTTTCTTTACTGTTTTTACCAGTTATATTAAAGTTTTACAACCTTTTCTTTCAATAATTATCGACATATGCAGTATATATATATATTATAACAGGCCCGTCGTCACGATTTTAATAAGTAAAGCGTATGTGAAATAACATATTCATTTTTTCCTATATCACACCGTACAATCAAATGGGCAGACAGCTGTTCCAGCGTCCACAGCTGTACCAGTATATACATGTCGGCGCGGGGAATACAATTGACGTACGATAAGTATTCATCTATTTTTAACATATCCAAACTGTGTTCGAGTAAATCAATGTTATGGATTCATAGTCAACATCCAAAGAAGCATGCTAACAAATTTCTGGCCCTGTGCAAGCTTTACTTCACATGAATTTTGACTGAAAATAACCACACTATCCGATGAGATGCGGTATTTTTAGTTTGAAGTCATAAAAACTTATATTTTCTCATGATAATTAATCCTTTTATCATACGATTCGTAAACGTCAACATTTTGTCATTAAATATTCCAAACCATACCTTCAAAAAAGCTTTTCTATTAAAGTTATAAGGTATTAAAGTGTGTGTGTCATCAAAATTTTAATAACGTCATCAGCTGTTCGCCTCTTTTTAATGATTACATCGACAGCAATTCATCGGCAAGGATGAATAACACTGACAGCTGTTCAAAGAAACAATTTTTAGCGCGTTTGTGCTACAGTTACTAGGAAAAAGTAAAACGTTTTTGTTAATTTAGAATATTTCTTTATTCATGATACTTTCTAATTATATTTTTTTTATTATTACTTTCTATCATTTTTTGTATATTAGCTGAGAGGCTTATATCTCAATTTACCGCACTGTATTTCAATAGTGATATTGTTCATATGAACGAATGAATGAGTGAGTGAATGAATGAATGAATGAATGAATGAATAAATGAGTTAATTAATGAACGAACGAACGAATGAACGAACGAACGAATGATGCAATATACGTATATGTTAAAACAAATTGTCTGTAGAAAGTATATGAGTTGTAATATTCTTAAAATTACATATTATACATTCATTTTTCTTCCTATGCATGTCCTGTTGTTGTTGTTTTTTTTTTTCTATTTCAGAAGGCCACATTGGAAATAAGATATATATGATTGTTATTGTATGTTATTAATGTATAACCTTCTTTAAATAAAGATATTATTATTATTATTATTATTATTATATAAAAAGGTAGCAAGATCTATTAATATGTTTCTGAAATGTTAAATTCAAAGAAAGTAAAGGCAAAGTTAACGCTTTTTACGAATACTCTGTATTATAACTAAAGTCATCAAGTGTTCTTATAAATAATGGCATATAGCAGACATGTCCCATGCAGTAAATGTGTAACCCGAGATGTCTGCCATATAAAATGATTTATTTAAAAAATAAAAATTTAAATAATTTTTAAGAATGGTTATTATTTCTATTGCACTATACATTAAAACAGATTTCAAGGATAAATAACAACATGTTTTTCCATGCACTTTCATATCTCGGGTTACACAGGCATTCACTGCATAGGACTTGTCCATTATATGCCTTTATTTATAATAACACTTGATGGATGCCTTCATTTACAAGACTGAATATTCATATTAAGCGTTAAATTTGCCTTTGCCTTTCGACTTAAACATTTCATAAACCTATTACAGGAACTCCACTGAGGTTTATAAGCCTAAAAACATGAAATTTTATTTTTTCACATAAAAAAAAACATGAGCACTAAAACATAAATATTAATAAAATATAACCAAGAAATATAGGAGAAATACATTGAAAATCATATGTTTGTGCTATTCTCAGTCCGATTTGAGTGAAAAGCGTTTAAACTCTTCTTGGGTCATTTTTTCACTATTATAATATTCTGGAAAAACGGAGCAAGCTAATGATCGGAAATTTTGCATATAAGTTATTAGTATAGATCTACATCAACTGGAGAAATAATCTCAAAAAATTATTTCCAGGACCGTCATGTCAAAAACCCTTAGTGGAGTCCATTTAATAGGTTTTGCTACCTTTTTATATTGAAATACAATGGGGGTAAATGGAGATCAAGGTCTCTAACCTATGATATAACAAATAATAGAAAGTAATAATAAAACTGATATACATAAATGTAATTAGAAAGTATCATGAATAAAGTAATATTCTAAATTAACAAAAAAGTTTTACTCTTTCCTAGTTACTGTAGGACAAAAGCGCTGCTGTGAATACATGTAATTGTTTCTTTGAACAGCTTTCAGCGTTATTCGCTCTTGCCGATGAATTGCTGTCGATGTTATCATAAAAAAGAGGCGGACAGCTGATGACGTTATTAAAATTTTGATGATACACAAACTTAAATACCTTATAACTTTAACAGAAAAGCTTTTTTGAAGGTGTGGTTTGGAATGTTTAATGACGAAATGTTGACGTTTACGAATCGTATAAAAACAGGATTAATTATCATGAGAAAATATAAGTTTTTGTGACTTCAAACTAAAAATACCGCATTTCATCGGATAGTGTGGTTATTTTCAGTCAAAATTCATGTGAAGTTAAGCTTGCACAGGGCCAGAAATTTGTTAGCATGCTTCTTTGGATGTTGACTATGAATCCATAACATTGATTTGCTCGAATACAGTTGGGATATGTTAAAAATAGATGAATACTTACCGTACGTCAACTGTATTCTCCGCGCCGACATGTACGAGGTACAGCTGGTACAGCTGTGGACGCTGGAACAGCTGTCTGCCCATTTGATTGTACGGTGTGTATATATTAAAACATAATAAGACAGGTCTTATGCAGTAGTTTAGACACCTCTCGTATGTTTTTCTCAAAGAAGCTTTATTGTATTAATATCAGTTAAGTAATTTGTGCACGTGACTCGTCAGCGTGCATATCATCAAAATCTGCTTATCGGCTGCACTTGCTAACCTGGTCTAACTAATATAAACATAGGTTAATCAACTATCAGTAACCACTCATTATCACGTGTATCAGTAACGCAGCAGGTACACATACTGCAGCAGACGATAATTATAAGCAGACGAAAATGTTCTAACAGGTGAGTTCAGGTAAATCTTGTTTTCTCTTTTCTCTCTGATGTAATGTGATAGCACTCTTGGATTGTTTGCTTACCTTTTCCGTAAGGAACTACTTTCGAAGAAAGAATGGCGGAGTGATTTGTTTATCTACGTTAGATTTTTTTGACGTTAATACGAACTGCAGGATTGTGTGTACATGTAAGTTTGCCAGGATAAAGGAAAACGTTTTTGTGTTCATATTTAAGGTAAGAAACTTGATTTTCTACTTATAATGTATACGTTGTAAATAAGAAATATTAAATAATTTATCAAAGAGATTTTAATGTTAATGAAGAAAAATTGAGTTGGCGACACTTTAAAATTCAAACATTCTATATCCTTGACCTTGACGAAAATGCATACATAGACATATATATGCCAAAAAGTATGTATATTTTATAATAAGTTGATATAAATAACATTCAAGTTCACACTAATATAATAAAATTAGATACTTTTCCCGGTATATAATTGGAAAATATATTGTTCTTAATTCTGGAATTCTTGCTTGTACTGTATAGCCTTGATGATTTATTCAACTGTACATGTACAATATGTTAAATGTGTCCTGTTTTTATGCCCTTTAGAACACCATGCTGTCTGCTATAATAAAAGAATGCTTCTATAACAAAACTTATTAATATATTCTCTGCTAATATATCGTGTAGAATATTTCAACAACATATGTTAGTAATTAAACTGATGAATGTGATGTACAAACAAACAGTAAATAAATCTCATGAATTCTAGACATAGGTAAAAGACTGTTCGAGAATGTTGGAGTAAGTGTTGTTTGCGCTAACCCTGGCATTGAATCAACAATATATGACTTTAGTGAACAGTCAATTAGATCTGTAAAACATATGCCATCTAAAATGCTTATCAACGGGAACATTTTGATGTCATATAATCAATGCAATCGTATTAATCATGTACACGTTTTCTTTATATTGTATATTTTCTTGGAGGAAATAGTTTAACTTTACCTGCAATCAATCAACACTTTCAGTTGATGTTTTAGTCATGATGCACAAACGTCCTTTACCTGACAATAAAAAAAAACTATACGAGAGTGCTATTCTGGTAAAAAATATTACTCACGTTGATCGAGTGAAATAATTATGTATTTACCCTGTAGTAATACAATCAACTCGTGCAAAATTCCCTAAATATTAAATGACAGCTGATACTATCTGTTAAAATTACCCCACCCCGCGAATATTAACTTATTATAAAACAGGGAAAGGGGTCATTTAATGTTGCAAGTAATTGTAATATTGAAAAATAATAAATTTTAAAAAGGGCGTTATTTTTTTAGACATTCCCCCTCTGGAAAAAGACGAACAGTTTAAGGGAATGGCCCCAAAACCCTTTAAAAAATCTGCGTTTTGGTGGCGGGAAAAATGGGCCCCGTGATGGAAATTTTTGGGGGCATCCCAAACCGGATATGGAAATTTAAAGGTTTAAAACTTTTAAAAAGAGGCAGAGAAATGGGGGCAAAGGATTGAAAACAATGACATGAATTAGGTTGAAAGAAGAAAAATGGTAGAACGAGTTTTTAATTAAAAGGAAAAACCCAATTCTGTTAAGAAGAAACCCAAAAAGTTGTTCCCCCAAAATGATTTAAAAATTTTTTTCTGTGGCAGCAAAACTCCCCGAGGAAAATTTGAAAGCTATTTCCGGTCACCTTCATAAGAAAATCGTTGTAGTTGGACTCCCTGGGCTTCCAGGATTCGAGTATCTGTGCAAAAGTTCTTTTGGTGAGTTAAGCGAGCAAATCACTATAATGTCCTTTGAAATATCGCCATGGGTTTGTGAGGTCGTCGAGTATGGGAAAAAGGTCGAGGTCACTCGTACTGCCAAACGTATAAATGGATCAATCTTGAGAGGAAAGGCAATTCCAAGAAAACCCGCACTGATGAGCTTACAAATGACTTTAGGTTTTGATCCAGCGTTACAGCAAGTCAAACATTTCGCAGAACTTTTGTTTACTTCGTACACATTCTTTAACCCTGTGTTAATGTATAGTAAATGGAAAGATTGGGACGGGAAAGCGTTAGACGCTGAACCACTTCTGTATGAGGACGTTACTGAAGACACTGTAAAGCTTTTAGAAAGTTGCAGCAAAGAGTATCAAGATGTGGCCCATGCTATTTCAGCCAAGAAACCGGAGGTTGATTTGACGGAAATTCCAGACATTTTTAACTGGGTCATTGAGTTTTATAAGAAAGATATTGAAGATGGAACAAGTCTGCTCAAAGCTATTCAAACAAACAAAGTTTATAAAGGTGTAAAGCATATTATGAAAAAGAACAAGAAAACGTTCAACCCAGACTTTGAATGTAGATTTTTGACGGAAGATGTACCGATGGGAATGGTTGTCGTACGGGGTATAGCTGAATTTGTTGAAGTACCAATGCCGAGTTGTGACGCCGTCATTCAATGGGCGCAGGAAAAAATGAAGAAAAAATATCTTGTAGATGGGAAACTGTCCGGTGATAACATGAATGAAACGAGAGCACCGCAAAGATTCGGTTTTACTACACTGGACGAAATTTTAAGTGGTCGTAAAAGTGACAGCTAATAGTAGACACCTCGATAGATTATTAATTAACTGAACATTATGACCTGAGTTGACCAGTTCATGTTATCAATGGGAAACAATATCTAGCTTTATAGCTTACATTACTGTCTCCAACTTTCGACAAAATCAAAATAAACATAAATAGTACACCTGGCAGTATAGTATAAACGGAAGTGACGTCATATAGACAGTGAATTAATGATGTCAGACAAGAATTACGTATCTACGTATATGTCGTGTAGCTAAGATTTAAAATGGTTGCTAAGAAATGTGTTAACGTATTCAGTATAATTAATTTGTGTTATGAAAACCAAGAATACATTATAAGATACATAAATTGTAGATGAAATGCTGAAATTAAGTGTTGTTTTATTAAATTGACGTGCCAAATGTTGTTTGCAATATGGTATTTTTGCCATTTATTCACAAGAACTCCTTTGTCATTTCACAAAGAACCGTCTCTTCTGCTATATACGTAGAATCAGAGCCATGTTTGATTGATGATACGGTGATGGAATGATATACCTAGCTGTTACCTCCAGTCACATGTAAACATATACCCTGATACAACCAATCATTCATCATTAACTTATATATCATTGTCATATATCTTTTTGGCGGGAAAAGTTGATATGCTCACATGAAACTTACAATCCGTTCTTGTTGTTTTTTGCTCATTTTGCCTTTTTTCGCAGATTTGTACGACTTTTTGTAACATGTCTTAAATAAAAGTGTGTGTGCAGTTATGTCTTACTTTTCTCTCACAACCTGTTTATAAATATGTTTATTCTTATTCATTCAAAATGTTTATAAAAGTTTGGTGGTTTTTCAACATTCATATTACCTTGTTTGTTTTCGTCTGCTATTGCAACAGTTCACTGGAATATCAAATTACAATCGAAATAAAAGCACCTGTCAATGTTTTATTTGCACAAATTAAAGTGAATATGTTAATGATCCATGTATATTGATGCCTCTATACACTAAAAGATTTTATTTTTTCTTCCGTGAGCGCTTTCGCTCAAAAATGTATATTTTTACAAGCTTTAAAATCATTTGAACTTGTCTAAACGCTATTATTAATTCCGGTTTTAATATAAGTTATAGAACGGCACCGGTGTTAATATTAGTTATAGAACGGCCCCAGTGTTAATATTAATCATAGAACGACGCCGGTGTTGATATTAATCATAGAACGGCGCAGGTGTTAATATTAGTTATAGAACGGCGCCAGTGTTAATATTAATCATAGAATGACGCCGGTGTTGATATTAGTCATAGAACGGCGCCGGTGTTAATATTAATCATAGAACGGCGCCAGTGTTATTATAAGTTATAGAACGGCACCGGTGTTAATATTAGTTATAGAACGGCGCCGGTGTTAATATTAATCATAGAACGACGCCGGTGTTAATATTAATCATAGAACGGCGCCGGTGTTAATATTAATCATAGAACGGCGCCTGTGTTATTATAAGTTATAGAAAGGCACCGGTGTTAATATTAGTTATAGAACGGCGCCGGTGTTAATATTAATAATAGAACGGCGCCGGTGTTAATATAAATTATAGAACGGCGCCGGTGTTAATATTAATCATAGAACGACGCCGGTGTTGATATTAATCATAGAACGGCGCCGGTGTTAATATTAGTTATAGAACGGCGCCGGTGTTAATATTAATCATACAACGGCCCCGGTGTTAATATTAGTTAAAGAACGGACAGGTGTTAATATTAATCATAGAACGGCGCAGGTGTTAATATTAATCATAGAACGGCGCCAGTGTTATTATAAGTTATAGAACGGCACCGGTGTTAATATTAGTTTATAGAACGGCCCGAGTGTTGATATTAATCATAGAACGGCGCCAGTGTTATTATAAGTTATAGAACGGCACCGGTGTAAATATAAGTTAAAGAACGGCGCTGGTGTTAATATTAATCATAGAACGACGCCGGTGTTGATATTAATCATACATCGGTCCCGGTGTTAATATTAATCATACAACTGCCCGGTGGTTAATATTAATCATAGAACGGCGCCGGTGTTAATATTAATCATACAACTGCCCGGTGTTAATATTAATCATAGAACGGCGCCGGTGTTAATATTAATCATACAACGGTCCCGGTGTAAAGTGTAAATATTAATCATACTACGGCCCGGTGTAAATATATTAATCATACAACGGCCCGGTGTTAATATTAATCATAGAACGGTACCGGTGTTAATATTAATCATAAAACGGCGCCGGTGTTAATATTAATCATAGAACGGCGCCGGTGTTAATATTAATCATAAAACGGCGCCCGTGTTAATATTAATCATAGAATGGCTCCAGTGTTAATATTAATCATAGAACGGCGCCGGTGTTAATATTAATCATAGAACGGTTCCAGTGTTAATATTAATCATAGAACGGCGTCGGTGTTAATATTAATCATAGAACGGCGCCGGTGTTGATATTAATCATAGAACGGCGCCAGTGTTATTATAAGTTATAGAACGGCACAGGTGTAAAAATTAATCATAGAACGGCGCCGGTATTAATATTAATCATAGAACGGCGCCGGTGTAAATGTTAATCACGGAACGGCGCCGGTGTTGATATTAATCATAGAACGGCCCCGGTTTTAATATTAATCACGGAACGGCGCCGGTGTTAATATTAATCATAGAACGGCGCCGGTGTTAATATAGAACGGCGCCGGTGTCAATACTGATTAAGAGGATATATTAACTTTGGTAAAAGGTGATAATTTCTACCTATGTCTACTTATTCAATCTTCTTTAAAATAATTGTTTTAAATTCTCTACTTTACTAGATTATATCACGAGCTATTGGCAAACTATTTTATCATCATTATATATATCATACATTATAAAGTTGTTTGTATAAAAGAATTATTAAAGTTTCAAATTTCAAAGTTTATTCGTAATTATTTATATTTGAAGAACGTCAATTTTAATATAAATTTCGTTGTTTATGCCTAGAAGCGTGCCCCTGGTGGTACCATTTCAATAAATGCGAGTGTACTTTCTCAATAAAGTAATTACCTTCAATTAAAGTGTATTTTAAACAAATTGTAAACTGTCTGTGAAGAATAAAGAGAAGTTAATTGAACAATAGATAACTTTTCAGCCCGAAGGAGTAAGGAAACGCTTTAAACTTTTTGATTTAAACTTTTCAACTTGTAACTTGCCAGTAATTTGGATTATTTCGCCCTGCACACATTAATGCAATCATAATCTGATTATCTGTATCGCTGTTCCTACCATTGTGCAGTGTGCATATTATACATTTCATTTCAACAAACAAACAAAAAATGTACGTTAAACAAAGGAGAGAAATGGTGCCTAGAACTACACCGTCGGATTATATAGAAATAATTGTGAGTATTTTAAAATATCGATCTTTATTTATTATCATTCTGATTAATTGCTCAATTACTTTCTGTTCGCTGTAATGCTGCACAGACTTGAGTTTCAATATTGATTCACAGATTACTGTTTTCTACACTAAATTCGATAACATTACTATGAATTTAAAGATCATCATCATTATCATCATCATCGTCATCATCATCATTATCAATTACAACAGCAAAACCACCACCATCGCTTTCACTACCACAACAATCATTATCGTCATCATCATCGTCATCATCATCATTATCAATTACAACAGCAAAACCACCACCATCGCTTTCACTACCACAACAATCATTATCGTCATCATCATCGTCATCATCATCATTATCAATTACAACAGCAAAACCACCACCATCGCTTTCACCACCACAAAAATCATCATCATCATCGTCGTTGTCATCATCATCGTCGTCGTCGTCGTCGTCATCATCTTCATCATAATCATCATTATCGTCGCCGTCGCAGTACTATAAAGCAAAACATAGTAATTCCATCATCTTTATCAACTCAATCAGCGCTATCGATTCTTTTGTAAGATATTTTTTTCTAATTCTTTTTAAGCACAGATAGCTTTTATATATTTATTTAATAATCATTTTTATATTAATATTTTTACATCATCCCCAGCAGTGATGAATCATTTTATTATAAACACACAACAATGTAATTTAAACATAATAATATAGGAGCTAAACTATAAACAATCAAATAACAATGATTTTTGTACTTAATCATGAATATTGGCAACTTAATTCCATTTATTTGATTATTTCTTCAAAAATTGATTCTTCAACAAACGAAAGATTTATCTAATCTGATAGAAATATATTGATACAAATTTGAACTCTCAGTGCAAATATTTAATCTTGATAACTTACTTGACTTAATGTATACAAATCGTTTTTAAATGCCCGAAACTTTTGAACCAATGTTTGTTTACGGAAATCTAAGTTTTGGCACCAGGCGTTCACGACTCTAGTATTGAGCTTTATTATAAACAGATCGAAGTACAAAAAGCGTAAATGAATTGAAATGCATTGATTGGCAAATTACGATGAAATGCAAAAGAATCTATACAAGCGGTATAAATAGTTGAAGATCCATATTAGAGAACATATAGAAATCTGATACGGGTTGTAAATCTAGTTATAATTGAAATATTCATTAAATGTTTAATTTATTATTACATAATTTTCTAAAAGAAAGTGACGTAAATTTGATTTTGGATACAGAAATGTTAAATACCGTTGATCAAGTAAGTCATTAAATGTTTTTTCTATTTTAATAATGTACATTTCTGCTATCAATAAAAGTGATAAATTTATATCAGGTCTATATTGTAATTAACGGTATAAACAGTTCCACTTTTTTAACATATATATTCACTGATATTCAAAACCTTAGCAACAAAGAAAAATATACATGTACGTATATTATAATGATCGACTGAACTGAAAAAAATGAAGAAAAAAAGAGATACAAAATGTTTACAGATTAATGTTGCGAGGAATTTAATTAATAGAAGTCGTATGATCTGAAGTTAATTATAATTTGTCCTGAACATAGATTTTAATGTTGCTAGTTGTAGATAAGTCATACATTCGAGCGGTTTTATACAGATAACTTGTCTTACATTATTTCCTCATGAATGTTGAAACAATCAAATGTGAGTATAGTTTTCTAACCCAAATTTTACATGTATACATACGTCTCGAGCTACTGTAAAATTCAAACGTTCTATTTGATCAAAGTTAATTTAGTAGCAGTGGAGAGGGTGTACCAATTACCAAACACTTAATGGTCGGAATTATGAGTACTTGCAATCAAAGAAAGACAACTCTCATCAGAAGTATATATTTGCGGAAGTATGTTTGTAAAGATGTTATTATCCGAGCAAAAAAGCCCCGATCATGTATCATAGAGTATGCATACGACATAGATTTTTCGGAATTAGGAACAGTTCTTGAAAAATGAATGTAATTCCAAATGATATAACTTACTTAACCATGCGATCTTTTACCCTGCCTATTAGTATGACATAACTATCGCGTATATCTTTACCATTAAAAGTGTATTGGTCTACAATGGGATGTCCGTAATACAATAAATAACGTTGATAATACTAGTATTAAGTATCAGACATAACTACAAACAACGAAATAATTATATATGAATTTTGTTGGCAAGCCTCAACATTACATATATTTGTATGGCAAGTGATAAAATGTTCTAGAACCAAATGTTCTATTGAATACATAGGCATTTAGAACTTCATCAACATTTATTTTTTCAAGTAACATACTGAAGGACTTTGTATACACGCGCTTTGTATAAGGAATAGTTGTTATGTTTTCACAACGAAAGCGTGAGGATAGAGGATATTTAATGAGAGTTGGTTCAATACTAAATTTATTGAACAAGTTGAATAAAAAATTAAATTATATTATGCCAGCCTCTGGCGAGCAAAATATTATATTATTCGACAAGTTCTATAAATTCAGTAACTATACGAATATGATATTCAATTTATCATATAGATCTACCCAAAACAAAGACTGTTTAACGTGCAAATGAATCATTTTTCATTGACACGTCTTTACACTATGTAAAAATTGTTTGTTAGAACATAAATTACATGACGTCACGTCAAAATATGCACGGCGCAAAAAGTCGCAAAATCGGCACGGGTATGTGCACATTAACCCCGACTCGTTCAATAAACTTAGTATTAAACCTTAACTCATTCAATTTTCTCAAAATATTCATGAATATGCATTTGTTTAAACCTATTTATCGCAAATTAATTGTCCAACGAGTTTAACGAACGACAACTCCATTAGCAAATTGTGAAACATTCAACATAAGTTAATTCCCTTTTATAAACAGTTTCTATAAATAGCTATATATAATAAATAAAGAACACTTTGAACCATGTGACTCCGTGGCGCAACGGTAGCGCGTCTGACTCCAGATCAGAAGGTTGCGTGTTCGAATCACGTCGGGGTCAAACTTTTTTTTTTTCAATTTACATATTTTTAGTATGGAATGATGTTTTACTGTATTCCTAATTCTTATCAGAATTTATGTCAGAATACCCTTTATACATTAGTTTTCTCTTTTGAGACAGGAAGAACGGTTGTACAGATTTACATTCATAACCAGTAAAATTTTAAGTTTTCAATATTTGATTTTTTTTAATATCAATATAAACGCGTTACAAGGTTAAATAACAACTATAATATAGAGTGTAATATTTTGAGAGATCAGAACATTGATTTAGCACACTTGTGTTTCATTGACGTTACTATCTAACGATTGATCTGTTAATTAAATATATTGAATTGAAGGTAACACAGTCCGTTAATTGATGAACAAGACAATTTGTGTGGAGCGATTTATTCGACATGATATAATCTTTACATTGCTATATTAACTGTTTAAATCATTACAAACATTATACAATTTTTAGTTTGATTTTAACATTCTTTGTGCCTTATTTATTTTATGAAAGGACTTTATGTAATATTTTTAAAACAAAATACATTTGTAATAATGGCGGTGGCTACCCGTCATGGGATTGTAATCAATCCGGATGTTCAGGTATGGGGTCGTTTTTGTTGCTGTTGTTGTTATTGTTGATAACATTTTTGTTCACCATAATTCATTCTAACTGTTGGATAGACAATTTGCTACACCACCCTTGAATAAGTGGTTATTTTTTGAAACTACAAGACAGTTTATCATCGCTCGCTGCATTATGCTCTCTGTCTGTCAGTATTCGATTATTTCAGATCACAATTACTGTTTTAAGCTTTTTCTTATTTTATTTATTTACATTAAACAGTAAGCCCACAGTATTTTGTTCTTTTTTTTTTTGAAACGGTACGGCTTTACTATTCTTTTTTATTTAAGTTTTTGCAAACAGGAGTACAATAGAAGAAAACATACATTAACGGATTGTACTTTTTAATATGTGTGACTCACGGTCCCACTAACTGCAAAAACGGCCCTGGAAATTTCACTTCCAAAACATTCGAAAGCATGACGAAACCGGTTTCTTTATACAATAATCAAACAACGCAGACTTTTTCGTTTTATACAAGAATCACGATAATGTTCAATATCCGTCTAAACGTTTTCCCTACTTTCTTCAAATACATATTCAATCATTTTACATTTTCTCTGAAATAGCTATGTTTTATCCATCAATGACCGAAAATCAAGCGATATGAATAGTTGTAATGAAAAACGTGTATTATTGCATGATAATTTGCACATTTAAGAAAGAAAATTTGACCATCTGTCTAAAGTAAGGAGTGTTCTCTGTTCATACTGTGATTTCTATGAAGCTCTGAAATGAGTCTATATGAACTTGGAATGTTGCCGCTTCTCATTCATTTATACTATAATAACTTACAGTACCTTTAAGTTATAAAACCTTTCATTGCTCTAAAAACCTGATCAAATACAGATCGCTCATTTGAAAGTATAATTTTGCAAATCCAATTGTAAATTACCCTTACAATTATTTTTTTTTCTACTTGTATATTTAAATTTGATTGCATTGTACTTCTGTCCGAATAAAGCACATTTAGTAAAAGTAATTTCGTTATTCTCATAGCAGAATTGTTAGTCAATATTTGTTTACTTCAATCAATACTGTCAACTATAGGTGAAAGTTGCCAACAAAATTGCTTAACATTGTTGACTTATCGTGGTTATACAGTTAAATTCTCTCCACTAAAATGTCATATATAAGTTTTGAAGTTTGATGTTAAACCTTTAGATAACGGTGTATGATAACATATGTCATAAAGTTTATAAATTATGAATATAACATGAAACTCTGAGTTCACCCCCTGTTATCTATATTCCTCTCGTCAAAGTGGATCCAACGTGCATATTTACACTGTGTAATTGAATAATTTAATGAATACTGAATAAATGTGTTTCGACTGAAACTTTTTAACAGAAATCAATGCTGTCTCATTTTGTATAAAATTGTATCTGTTAAGTAAGGTTTACAAATTACACGTATTTTAAATTGTATTCACTTTAAACTTTCTTGTCTTGATCCCTTAATTGTCGTGCATATTAGAAGGAGTGCTAATATAGTATATTTTAGACTTTCACGAGTAGAATGGTATTCATTTCCGTGTGATAATTAATTTTCATGGGTGGTATTAATTTCCGTGTGACAATTAGTTTCCATGGGTGGGAAATGATATTTTATTTCTGTGTGATAAACAATTCCTAGGATAAATCTAAATACCTGGTTGGTGAAAGTAATAGGATAAAATATTATCTGTCAAAAGTCTTTTTCTCAATCAATTAATTTCCAATCATTGCCGCCAAATGGATTTTCCTATCTTAAAATCGGTCGTCCTACCGGTATCTTAAAGACAAACCCCTAGACGTACAATAGTATTCTGACATTTAAAAACAAAGTAGACTTTTCGTGACATTTCTTGATATGGTATAAAGTCGTGTGTTCTTAAATATAAAATCCCTCCTGTCTGTATGCTTTACCGTCAACTTTCTGTCAGAAATTGTTTCTAAACTTGATGATGTCAAATTCTCACACAAGTTTTGGCCCGTCTTTAAGAAGAAAAAAACCCAGCGATACTTGTTAAAGTATATCACACTGTAGAATAGGAAAGCTACCTTTAAAATACCGTATTTGCATGACAAAAGAAGATTTTATTTGCATGATTTATTTCCTCATCTTAAAAGAAGATCGTTTTAAAATGAAAATTTTTTAATCAAATTTTATCGTATCTAGTATACAGCTATGGAATTCATATCAATGTACTACTCCAAAGTTTAATTGATTATATTATGGATTTATTGATATATCATAAAACAAGGCAAACATTTAAACAAAATTATAAAGTGCTAATGGTGTATAGTTATCATTTCTATTTAATAACTATGATACTCTTAGATAAATAATTATAAAAAAAACATTGAGTTATAATGAAGTTTTAGTACTTAAGAAAAGACGCAAATGATTAAATGGATTACATTTGACTTTCGCGCATGAAGATATTTTAGTTTGTTCATTTAAATAGTGCTTGAAATTTAAAACCAAATTTATCTCTCGTGTGTATGATACAACAATTAAAATGCAGTCTCGTATTGCTTCTTTAAAGATGCCCTCTTCCTGGAATGAGTACATCACGACTGTAATGGCGGACAGTGGTTTTGTTTCAAAAGGCGCCATCTATGGCACAGAAGGCAGAAAATGGGCCGCTTCGAAAGGTTTTGACGTCACTAGTGACGAGGTAAAGAATCTTGTGTCTGGATTTACAGATCCAACAAAACTTTGGGTGCAAGGTGTGAAAGTTGGAGGGAAAATATACACATGTACACGATCAGAAAGCGGACTTATTGTTGGTCGAGAAAGTGCTGAATGCACCGGTTGTGTTATTTATAGATGTAATAAGTGTGTTGTGATAGCAGTTCACGAGGAAGGAGCGCACCCTGGTGGCTGTTTTAACTTGATTACAAAACTTGGTGAATATTTGAAAGAACAGGGTGTATGAAATTAAAAGAGAATTATGATCTTTATATAGTCCCCTCGAACATCGAACGTCTGCGGATACTTTCAACTTTGTGCAACGTCATTAATTAATACTCTACAGCATTGGATATATGACGTCACATACGTTGACGTTACCACGGCATTATTGCCAATTATTCGAGGTTAATGATGTTGAATAAAAGTTTTCGCAATGCATTGATATGGCGCAACTCGTGCATTTCCAAGTACATGTATAAAACTGTTAGAGAATGTAATAAATTCTATTTCATCTACCTGAAAAAAACAAAACAAACAAAAACACAACAACAAAAAACAATAGACACAGATGCTCTCTACAAATGATTGATGTTGTGCAAGTGTGTGTCTGACATTTATTATATATCGTGATACGTAAAATAAATCTGTCATTTTACTTACCTAGGAAATATTTGTTCTTATGATTCCGGCGTTATGTCTGATCTTCATAGATTGGCCTTCTTCAATTATAGTGGTTAAAATAACATTGATATTGGTGATGGATGATTGAGTATGTACAAATATGTCTAAACTTAGAACAAATACAACATACACCTAAAGTTTTGTAATCAGACTATCTTAAGATTATATTTGTTCACAAGAAGGATTGCTGACTGACGAGAAACCACGTGATACGTTTCGAGAGTCATGTGATTTGAAGTACGGTTATGTTTTGATAAAACAATGTTCAATGATGCTTACTGAGAAGCTTTGTCACTGCACTCACAAATAACGGTATCTAGATAATGTAGGAAGATATACATGTATAAGATAAAGTAGAGAGATATACATGTATAAGATAAAGTAGAGAGATATACATGTATAAGATAAAGTGGTTTGGTCATGTTAGAGATGTCACACATACATCATTTATTTTTGTTGTTTTCTTTTAACTGTATTGTTGTAAAATGTCATATTGTCATATTAGATTTGTTTATTAGATGTATTATAATTTATTTAGAGATTTTATTTGTTGAAGTTATGTACGTATCAAAAACAGATATTGATCATTTATTTTTAGTTATCAAAATCGCATTTTATATCTTTTGTAAGTCCCTGCCCAAGAGAGAAGAAGATCTGATTCACTGTCGTTGTACTGTTTACATCTCCGTACAGTCGTACTGTTTACATCCCCATAAGTCGCTGTACTGTTTACATCCTCATACAGTCGTTGTACTGTTTACATCCAAATACAGTAGTACTGTTTACATCCCCATATAGTCATTATACTGTTTACATCCCCATACAATCGTTGTACTGTTTACATCCCCATACAGTCGTTATACTGTTTACATTCCCATACAGTCTTACTGTTTACATCCCCATACAGACATTGTACTGTTTACATCCCCATACAGTCGTTGTACTGTTTACATCCCCATACATTCGTTGAACTGTTTACATCTCAATACAGTCGTTATACTGTTTACATCCCATAAAGTCGTACTGTTTACGTCCCCATACAGTCATTGTACTGTTTACATCCCAATACAGTCGAGGGGTTAGAGTCGATGACTTCTAATCCAGTTACCTCTCTGGCGTGGGTTCGATCCCAGGGAGATGCTTTGGTAGTTTAGCGAAGAGGTAGGTAGTCTAGTACTGGTGTAACTCTCCAGGAACGATGGTTAGGAAACTACCCACCTATATGACTGAAATACTGTTGGGAAAAAGCGTAAAATGAAACAAACAAACAAACATTGTACTGTTTACATCCCCATAAGTCGTTTTACTGTTTACATCCCCATACAGTCGTTATACTGTTTACATCCCCATACAGACGTACTGTTTACATCCCCATAAGTCGTTGTACTGCACCCTCATACAGTCGTTTTACTGTTTACATCCCTATACAGTTGTGTACTGTTAACATCCTCATAAGTCGTTTAACTGTGTACATCCCCATACAGTCGTTGTACTGTTTACGTTCTCATAAGTTTTATTTTACTGTTTACATCCAAATACAGTCGTTTTACTGTTTACATTCTCATACAGTCATTGTACGGTTTACATCCCCATACATTTGTTTTTCATTTTGCATCTACAAACAGTTGTTTTACTTTTCACATTCCAATACAGTTGTTTGACTGTTTACATCCCAGTACAGTCGTTGTACTGTTTACATCCCCATGCATTCATTGCTCGTTATACTAATTACATCTCCATACTGTTATTTTTACTGTTTTCGTCCCAATAAAGTCATTGTTTTGTTTACATCCCCTTACAGTCGTGGCACTGTTTACATCCCCTTACAGTTATTTTACTGTTTACGTCCCAATACAGTCGTTGTACTGCTTACATCCACATAACAACGTTTAACTATTTACATCCACATACAGTTTATACATTTATAATTATAATGACTTATTTGGTTATGACAACTGTGTCAAGGGGCGAGTTGCACCTTCAAATTATTTAAGAAATATTAAAAGAAATTATTATAACTGTACGAATGATGCAAGTCACTGGGTAGATTGATTAACGGTTATATTCAACTGATATTAAATATATTTTATACTTAAATGTGTTATTATTCTAACTATCAGATATAAAAATGTGTGTGCCACAATGAACTTTTTTGAATTTAAAACACTGGTCTCGGTTTAGAACGGCGCCATATGCAAGATTCGTTTAGCAAATGTCTCCGGTATACAAAATTTACCTGTTAAATTTTCGCCATATAATGTTATGCACCTGGTCGTCCGCCCGTCTGTTAGCAGTTTTCATATCCATGTCATAACGGGTTGATGTGCAGAGCAGGATTGGCCTCCTTAGCTCAAGTTAAAGGTCACACTTAGATATTTTATAAGATTTTCAAACATTTCGTGTCCGTTCTGTATCTTGAACCAATAGAAAGAAACTTATTTGTTTTATGAAATAATAGTTATAATGAGACGATGTGCCCAACACATGTATGGGCTTCCTGAGATCAAAATCGGCCCCGCCCCTTGGATTATTTGATTAATACAGATTTATATAGGCAAACACATTTAGGTTTCATGGTGTGAAAAAAAATTGTCTTGAACTTAGATATTTAGTGTAGCATGACCTTATTGACCTTTACAAAACTATTATAAATCATGTCCATTGGTGCAATATTGGACTGGCTCCAGGGGTCACTTAATTTATATAGACTTATACTGAGACTGATTGGTCCAGAACTCAAATGTTGACATGTAACATCACTTTGTGGATCACAAAATAACTGTTATGAATCATGCCCCTAGGGGTCGATATTGGTTCTGCTCGTGGGTCACTTAGTTCATAGAGTTTTGTATACATTTATGCCTTACTTTTGTGAAAGTAATATGCCTAGAGTTTAGATATTTGACTTATAGAACTGCCTCGAACAAAACAAAACTTAACAAAACTTGTATTAATCATGCCCTTTTGGATCAGTACTGGCCAGGCCCTGGATTCACTTAGTTTAATAAGTCTTGTATGAGAAGACACATTTCTCTCTTATTTTGTGAATCCACAATGCCTAGACTTTTAACATTTGTCATGTAGCATTGCCCTTTTGACCTCTGCAAAACTGATATAAATTATGGTCCTTGGGTCAGTCAATACTGGACCAACCATGGGGGTCACATGCTTTATATAGACTTCTATATGAGAACTTATTTGAGTCTTATCATGTGTAAAAACAATAACCAGAGCTTAGATATTTGGCATAAAAAGGCCTCCACCTGGGAGGTCATATAATATCGTAAGGATACTTAAGATAAAATATTTTTAGGCAAATTTCTTGATTTGATCTCTTCCCTAATTGAAAAAATATTTTTTGATTTCTCAAACAAATACATTTGGTCGTATATTGCTCCGCCTTTGCTCTTGTTAGTAATGAGGGTTACTGACAGTGACGGAATTATATAACCAGAGTGTCAACTTGATATCAGATCTAACTCTGTCAGCAACTTATATAACTAACTTGTAATTTATTTCAACAAGTATCTAACATGTATATAAATAGCAAAATAACTAACGGAAAGAATAAAACGATTGTCAGCTATTTTGTTACCAAATAAACATATTACTTATATAACGACGTAGTCAAACGCGGCAGGGTATATACGGGAATTAATACAAAGTGTGTCATCCAATCAAAATTCGAGAAATTTATTTGCATTATCATTAATTAAATGACGGTTTACCTGCGTTTTAACTTTGTTAGTTAAAGGCTTCCTTTAGAGGAAAAATACTTCACCACAATCAAAAACATTGTCTTACCATGACTGTTTAATGTATATAGAGACATTAAATAAATATATTATAATAAAAACACAAATATTAATGTATTGTATATAGATAAATATCACAAAGTTTAATGGTACAACTGTTATCTAGTGAAATTTAACAAATACACTTTATACAACCCATTAAAACTAAAATAAAACATTTATTTATTACGAAAACCCGGTGAAGTTTTGCAATATAATTAAAATATAAGTATGCAACAAAGTAAATAACCTTACTTTAAAAAGGTTTATAAGCATATGATGGCCTTTTTTTATATACACCTTTTCAAGTATATACACCTTAACTTTTTGCACCAACATACTTGTCAAAGAAACCTCCATAATGTATTTGGTCGATTTTAATAACCACGTTGCAAATTCGATATTTAAAGACACAATAAGAACACATTATTTCTGCGGATAGTGACATTTTGATGTCGATAATATATTAGCAAAGTCCTTAATTAAGATGGAACAATAAGTAAAAACAAAACACCACTTTAACATTAAACACCGGTGAAGTATAACAATGTGTCCACGTGTTAGTGTTAATCGTCTTGTTTCACAAATGAAACCGCCATTCCATCGAGTGGTTTTCCTCTGAATTTGGCTATTCCAAAGTATATGCCTGCCGCTAACAATATTCCCATTATTAACATACCAAACGCCAAACCTGCCATAGCACCTAGAAATATTAATTTAAATTAGACACATATACATTCAGATAGACATGTAGCGTCTATCATAAGCTGAAAAAAGCCCATGAATGAAGTCTTAATAACAATATATTTTACTGGATCACAAACGGTGTTCATGTTTATATATATTACAACAAATATCATCTTGATGCGGCAATATAGTAGAAGATCATATGATAAAATATTCCAAAGATCTTCTCCCCCTAGAAACAAAGAATATTTGATAATGACAAGTATTGACATTGCTCGGAGATATATAGACATAGACAAATAGACAAACAGACTGGAACCTCTATTATTGATAAACTGGAGACATATTTGATAAATGGTTTTCATTTTAGTTACAACAAGATAAAGTGTAAATTTTAATTTATAAGAATCACACTTGTATGAGCAAGGTATCACTATAACAGTGGTATAACATGACGGAACTACTTGTATGAGTAAGGTATCACTGTAACAGTGGTATAACATGACGGAACTACTTGTATGAGTAAGGTATCACTGTAACAGTGGTATAACATGACGGAACTACTTTATGTAAGGTATCACTGTAACAGTGGTATAACATGACGGAACTACTTTTACCTCCTGTATATTTTCCACTTGATGTTGGAAGACTATAGTATTTTGATGGGTTGTTTATAAAAGGTGTCCCGTCCGGGAACGTCTGCCCTGGAAACATAAGAAAAACAGAATGTCAACGAGTATTATCTTTGTTATTTCATCGTTAAAGTGATGTATAATGCTTCAAAAGTTATTATTCTAATTATGAAAGAAATTAAGAGTGAATGGCCAATGCAAGAAATCATTGCTTAAAAGCCTACTTTAAATAGCAGCTTTATATTTTGTTCCAGAAGAATTTATTCTGCTTACTCGTACACACGATATCTTTTGTATAAAAGAGAAACTCTATATAAAAAGAAAAACTATATATGTTACAAAAATCCGGAGAATCAACCATAAAATTATCGAAAAAAAACATCAATTCAATGTAAATAAATTATAAAGGAAAATTTCATTAGATATAGCTTTATACCTTTTATCTTTGTTGGTCATTAAAATAATTGCGGATCATAGTTACCGTCAATTTATTAAAGTTTTTTTTTGTATCAACACTCATTATAAGAAAGGCGTCTACGTTTTGTAGTTAAAAACAAATCAATGCATCATTATGTATGCAACACAAAAGTAAAACATAAAGATTTCAAGAAAGGTAACATCATCATATAATAAAAGCACAGAAGGCGCTGACTTTGTTTGGGTCTCAGAATGTCAGAAAGGTGAAGGTTGTGAGATTATAAACCAGTTTGTTTGTATAATGTCAACAAATTCTGTTTCCAGTGTTATAAATATAGTCAATTGGCTATAAGACTAATTGCAACCCTGATATTCAATTCAATGTTTATTTGGCTTAATCAATTAAAAAACATGAGTTGTTTGAACTGGGATTTGAACTCCGGACCTCTCGCTTCTAAAGCGAGCGTGTAAACCACTCGACCACGGGAAGTTCCAAGAGAATAGCATATTATTCTAAATTAGAGTTTGTAACCCTTATTAATTTTGATATATTTTGTTCACGGTAAACCTGTTGTAAATAATCATAGAGCTGAATATAAGCATGTCTATCAATAAGAATAACACAATATTAGAAATATTCGACCAATCGGGAACTATTTTATCGTTACGAAAATTAATGCGCCTATCAGTTGACAATCTTTACGCAGTGACCTCCCCTTAATTTTTCGGCGTTAATGTACATATGAAGGGAAGTAACCGCTTCGAGGAGTTTGGACTACTTTCGGCATTTGCAAATAAGAACATCAGGGTCTGAAATTTCGCTACCATTATTTATTTGGTCTGACGACCCAAACAAATAATGAAACTACTATATAAAACACAAAAAACTATTGTAAACATGAACATAATTTCCACTCAGTACACCTGCTTTTCACTTACTGTTATAAACATCACACCATAGATTCGCTTCGGAGCTTACTTGACCAACATTTCTCATGGAAGCCGTGCTAAGTCTACATTCTGTTGTGTTACCACAGTAACCAAAACTAGCACAATTGTTATTCTCTTCCTCGACACACAATTTGGCGCACTGATCAACAGGTACACCACTGATGATACGATCACCAGCGTTCGTGAGATGTTGTCGTGTTGTTATCTGGAAATCGGCGAGGTATTTTTCTGTCGTAAAGATATTGAAAAAATGATTATTTACCAAAAACAGACGAAGTTTTTTTTTACGTAGAAATGAAGACATAATAGAAAAAATAATGTAAGTTAATTTTAATGTGGTAAAATGTCATACACCGGTGTTATTATGTTCAGTTAAACAAAGTGTATGGGGTTTTGCCTGTTTACGGCACTTTCTATCACATTTTTGAATGATAACTCATTCAATTATTTTGATAATGTGGTATCTTACTGGAATAATGATAAATGTGATATCTTACTGGAATAATGATAAATGTGATATCTTACTGGAATAATGATAAATGTGGTATCTTACTAGAATAATGATATGATATGATATCTTACTGGAATAATGATAAATGTGATATCTTACTGGAATAATGATAGATATGATATCTTACTGGAATAATGATGAAATGTGATATCTTACTGGAATAATGATGGATATATGATAATCTTACTGGAATAATGATAAAATGTGATATCTTACTGGAATAATGATAAATGTGATATCTTACTGGATTAATGATAAATGTGATATCTTACTGGAATAATGATAAATGTGATATCTTACTGGAATAATGATAAATGTGATATCTTACTGGAATAATGATAAATGTGATATCTTACTGGAATAATGATAAATGTGATATCTTACTGGAATAATGATAAATGTGGTATCTTACTGGAATAATGATAAATGTGATATCTTACTGGAATAATGATAAATGTGATATCTTACTGGAATAATGATAAATGTGGTATCTTACTGGAATAATAATAGATGTGATATCTTACTGGAATAATGATAAATGTGATATCTTACTGGAATAATGATAAATGTGATATCTTACTGGAATAATGATAAATGTGGTATCTTACTGGAATAACGATAAATGTGGTATCTTACTGGAATAATGATAAATGTGATATCTTACTGGAATAATGATAAATGTGATATCTTACTGGAATAATGATAAATGTGATATCTTACTGGAATAATGATTAATGTGATATCTTACTTGAATAATGATAAATGTGATATCTTACTGGAATAATGATAAATGTGGTATCTTACTGGAATAATGATAAATGTGATATCTTACTGGAATAATGATAAATGTGGTATCTTACTGGAGTAATGATAAATGTGATATCTTACTGGAATAATGATAAATGTATATCTATTACTGGAATAATGATAAAATGTGATATCTTACTGGAATAATGATAAATGTGGTATCTTACTGGAATAATGATAATGTGATATCTTACTGAATAATGATAAATGTGGTATCTTACTGGAATAATGATAAATGTGGTATCTTACTGGAATAATGATAAATGTGGTATCTTACTGGAATAATGATAAATGTGATATCTTACTGAAATAATGATAAATGTGGTATCTTACTGGAATAACGATAAATGTGGTATCTTACTGGAATAACGATAAATGTGATATCTTACTGGAATAATGATAAATGTGATATCTTACTGGAATAACGATAAATGTGGTATCTTACTGGAATAATGATAAATGTGGTATCTTACTGGAATAATGATAAATATGATATCTTACTGGAATAATGATAAATATGATATCTTACTGGAATAATGATAATGTGGTATCTTACTGGAATAATGATAAATGTGGTATCTTACTGGAATAATGATAAATGTGGTATCTTACTGGAATAATGATAAATGTGGTATCTTACTGGAATAATGATAAATGTGATATCTTACTGGAATAATGATAAATGTGATATCTTACTGGAATAATGATAAATGTGGTATCTTACTGGAATAATGATAAATGTGATATCTTACTGGAATAATGATAAATGTGATATCTTACTGGAATAATGATAAATGTGATATCTTACTGGAATAATGATAAATGTGATATCTTACTGGAATAATGATAAATGTGATATCTTACTGGAATAATGGTTACATAATGGTGTATCCACTTTGTCGCTTTGTGGCACGTCGTAATAATGTGTTCGTCCAAGATAGCACGTGGATATACCGTCACAATAATCAAATGACTTGCAGTTAAAACCATTGTAGTTATTACACAGTTTGCCACACTCATCCGCCGTGTAGATATTCTGATACACCGTGTCCGAGCTGGATAGGACGGTTGTGCCCTGGAACATTTGGTACCCGGATGTATATTTCCCTACAATAAATACTCAACATTTAAGGTGTTGTTTTGTAATATTCTTTCCTTGGTATTTGTTACGATTGCTTGTCATGAAAAAGAAAAACCGCTTTAAAAAAAAATAAAAAAAATATTCAAACAAGTTTAACTTTATTTTAAAAGGTAAAATGTTGTTAAGCCATTCACGGGATATATGAACAACGTTATATATCAACTCCATTGTCTCCATATAACTTACTTGTATATAAATCACATTGCATCATATTTACGACAACTGACGGACGCTCGTCTGGATGAAGTTTGGACAACACGCAGTATCCGGTATCAAAACAATATGAGAACGAATTGCACACCCAGGATTGTTGTGTTACACACGCAGACGCACAGTCGTCAATGGCAATACCGGTCAGAATTGCGTCGTCGTAGCCGGGAATGTTCTTGTTGATTTGCGTGTTGAATTGATTCATAAGAGACTCTGTGTATACAATTACAAATTCATGTCAGATATTAATGCGCCATGTACACATTAAACATTAAGTTGTCTAAATTCACTCGAATAGATCTTACTATAAAGTTAAAACATAAAGGTTTAAATTGTTAAAGATTTAATTATCTTATCATAACTTGTGTATAAGACATATATACATACGTGTTGTAAGAGTACGCTGGGCATTTTGTATAACGTTATCATCTATAGTACCAGCAGTAAATGTTGCTGCCTAAAATACAAACATGTTTAAATCACCTCAAAATTTCAAAACCGTTTTTAAACATATAATGTATACTGTTGGTAGTTAAATGTTTGCATTTGAAACAAAATGAAACCATGAAAACACCAAACAGACATTTCATGTTTGCTCCTAATTCAAAGCAGGGTAAACGCAGTACTGAAGTCGTAAATTTCTATCTTGGTAATGGACAGTCTGTGTGTGTGTATTTGCGTTTATTTATACTCGCCACCGGTTGCCCATATGGGCGAGTCCCCCAGAAAAGTATTAGTCATTTTAGATTTTTGGAGGATAGTGCAATTACAGATACAGAAAGATGCCCCAATTCCAGAAGCTTCTCCTGTTCTTTAGTGTGCCAAGTGTTTAAGCACCCATACACGGGACCTCGATTTAAAGTCTCATCCGAAAGACTGATTAGTAATTTTAGTTGGCCAGCCCGGGAATCGAACCCACAATGTCGAGATTACAAGTCTCGCGCTCTGCCGCTCTAACCGATTGAGTCTAAAAATGAAAACTGGACATATTCATTTAAGAAATACCAACATACCAATAAATGGGTTGCGTTTCATATCAAAGATTTATTGTTTATTTATTTTACACACACCATAAACTTATGGGAGCAACGTTCACAAATCCAATTCAATATACTACAATTACTAGGCAAAATATATATGTGAGTTAATTAAAATACTGACCTGTCCATTTATATTGACCTTGATTTGAAAGTTACCAATAAGCACGTCGTTCTTTATGTTCTTCCAGGCGTCAGCGAGTGCTAAGTTAAAATTTGACGTCTGCGTCGTACCTGTACGATAATTAAAATAAAACACGATTATACGTCATCAACAACAACCACAACAATAGAAAACAACAACAACAACAATAATAATAATAAAATGAACAAAACAACAGTATGAACAGAAACAACAACAACAGCAACAACAACAACAAGGGGAGCGGTGGACTAGTTGTTTAAGTGCCTGCCTCTCAACCCGAGGATCATTGGTTCGAGCCCTAATCAGGTCACGACGAAGGTTTTTTTTTCATATGACACCAGTTCTGGTTGGTTCCAGGAAGAGGACACGAAAATGATTAAGTTGCAAGAACTTCTTTCGCAATTGAGCTTGAATAAGTACGTTTAAATTTACTATATAAAACAACAACAACAACAAAGTGGTTACGAGTGTAGACCGACCGTACAAATGATAAGATAAATAATTTAAAGGGGTGGTTCAGCATTATAAAGTAAAATTGTGTAGATTCCATTTTAAACTCAAATTGTCATACTTATTTTTCCTGTCACAATTTTCAAAACACTGTACCTAAGAATAATAAAACTTACAGTTATTCCCTATACAATTACTAACTTGGCTAATCATTTTTGAAAGTTGAATTAACTTTGGCCTTTAATGAGATTAATGTTTATTGTCAACTGATTAAACATACAATCAAATTTTAAATCCTTAAAAATATGAACGACTTTGCTTCGATCATTAATATACCACGTGTCTTCTCTTATAAAAGCGGACCCCATTGTGTACACCGGTCTTACTGACCGATAACCGGTGTGTATACAATGAAGCTGACCTTTTAAAAGTTAACAATGCATGTATATATGTATATAAGTACTTACGAACGTAGTGGTCACATTGTCCGGAAGATGTTACAATAGCAACCCCGTCCTCAGTGTGAGATTTACTTAGACCACACAGATTTTGGAAAGCGCAGTAATCAAAACTGTTACATTGTCCTAAAGTACCCGGATCATTACATTGGCGGGCACAATCAGCAGCACTCGATACTGTTACAGACAAGTCGTTTGTGAATTGCCGGAAACGACCTGTAACCTTTCTGAAATAAGCTGAAAAGAAGGAAACACAATTGTAAGAAGACCAACATAGACGATGTACGTGGTAAATAAAACTCAATTAGTCAATCTTAATTCAATACTCCTACATTAGGACCGCCTCCGTGGTCGAGGGGTTAGAGTCGATGACTTCTAATCCAGTTACCTCTCTGGCGTGGGTTCGATCCCCGGGAGATGCTTTGGTAGTATAGCGCGGAGGAAGGTAGTCTAGTACTGGTGTAACTCTCCAGGAACGATGGTTAGGAAACTACCCGCCTATATGACTGAAATACTGTTGAAAAAGGCGTAAAATGAAACAAACAAACAAACAAACTCCTACATTATATTTTTTTCTTTATCATTAAAGACGTTTTTTTTGACACGATGGGAATGGGTTTTGTTTTCTAGATAAATATTCTATCTGATGTAGATCTAAGTCTGAACCAATCACTTGTGTGAACAATTTCAGATCATTCGCTCTTTCCGTTCTTAAAGAAAAAAATAATCCATATGTGGAAAATGACCCAAATCGAGCTAAAAACAGCACAAAATATCAATTTTCAATTATTTACTGAGTATATTTCTTTCTTATCTTTTACATATTTTTCTGTTTTAATGCCCAAGTTGCAAAAATTTCAAATCATGTTTTGTTTGTTGTTGTTTATTTCTAATTTTGGACCTCGATGAAGTTCCTTTAAATTATTTTATTTATATTTGGTATGAAGATAAAAGTTAAGTTACCGATAGGTGGCGGTAAATCTAGAAGTGTAGCAACAAAGTAGAACTCGTTTGATTCTACCCGGAACTGAGCGTTCTGTACCCGTATATGAGACACGTGACCGACAGTAGCTAGTCTGTTGGTGATTTGTGTAATAAATTGATTCTGGTATTGTAACAGACTGTTGTCCCATGAGCCTGAAAACATAACAAATATACTGTGACCTTTTATTTTCCTAAACAAAAAAGAAGCGTTGAGCAACGTATTTAGTCTTTAACATAAATTTAAACAGTCTGTCCCAATTTTATTGAGAGATATCACAAATTTCCTTTACGTGTTTGTTTTTGGTGTTGTTTGTAAACATGTAACAATGTTTGAAAAGTCCAAATTTAAACGTATTTCCAATTGCCTCTAAACTGTGTGTAAGAATGGATCTTTAATTTCGACTGTCTCATTAGTTGCATGTCTAAAATTTTAATTCAAAGATTATAGCTAAATATTCAAGTACCTGGAAACTCTAGAATGAACGCCTTCTTCGAGAAGTCATCGTAACAGTTGGCGATAGAAAATCTGTTATAAGACGGGTCCTCGGAATCAAAATTGTAAATATTGTACGTAGCCTGGTATCCGACCTAAATGTAAATCAAAGAACTGAAAGCACTGACAACTTGTTGAAATTGCGGGAATGAGTATGGTCAGGAAATAAAGACATACAGAGGATTAAGTTTAAATAAGGTGTGTAAAGCACCATTGAAAACACCGCATATGGAATGAAATACATAGTATGTAAACATCTTTCAACACTGACGATTCGACGCCTCGGTCCAGATATATGTTGTTTATATCTTGAAACGCTCATTTATTTCAAACTTTACTGTTTTGTAAATACATCATTTACGCAGTGGTAAATTAGAGAAATTTCATATATTAGAAAATTGACAATATCCGAAAAAAATGTACACATATAGTTTTATAAAGACTGACATACACTTTTCTTTTGCATACTTTAAATAATTTTGCTGCAAAGACACGCTGGGGTTAGTAGTTCCTCGTGTCATATTCAGAGACGTGTTTTAAACAAAGTTAGCATACACATACCTTTACATATCTGAACATGTCGTCTATTTACGGATGGGTGATTTAAATTGAAGTTGTTAGAAAATTGATGGAATGAATTAATTGAAGTTTTAAATAAGTCAGACTGTTATGGTATGTGCTGAGTACAAAGTTGACGCGCTGTTTAACCGAAGTTAAAACATTGTCATTGTAAAAATATATTTCAAAATAGAGTAAAGTAAAGTGTAAATTATGACGAACTTACCCAGTCAGCTGCTGTAATTCGTAGTTGAACTGGAATGTTTGTATTTGTTTTGGATTTAGCACCGAGAGATGTACTTGCTGTCCACTGGTTCTGAATTACAATATAAAAATTACGTAAACAAAATTATAGTAAAAAATGGAAGGGGCGTGACTTTAGAAATTGTGTTAAAATCCATATATGATTTTTTCATAATCAACTTAAATTTTATTATAACTGCACTTATTTTCCTTTTTAAGCGAAGTCACGAGGACTTTAGTGATGAATTAACAAAATAAATTTTGAAGTTGAAACAAACCTGGCTATTCTTCTACGGTCTTATGACAGATAATCAGTAAGACACTGTTCGCGATAGGCTGTCCCTAAATACTTTGTGCTTGTACATATCAGTTCCGAAAACTCGTTTTTAAAGGCAAAGTAAACCCCAAAAATGACATTTACCCTTGAGAAAGGTTTATACTCTTTTAATGATGAATTTATAGGATGTTTGAAGATAATTACCTGTAGAACGTAGAAACACTGAATGTGAAATAATTTGTATTAGCCAAATGTAAAGATGTGGTATTTTGACTTTCATACAAAATACTTATTCACTGTAACTTTACTTAATTACAAAATGAAAAAGAAACAACAAATAGTTCAGCTGTATAGATAGAAATGAATAACTCTTAGGAAGCGATAAACAGGACACCGAATATATAAAGTTTTTGAGAAATAAAAATAATATCAATTTAGGGTTTAATTGGCCTATAAGACAACTTTCTTTAGACTAGATATCTCTTTTAATAAGCGTGTCAAATATACCTAACTGATTTTATTATAACATTTGGCTTACATTCATAAAGTAAAACTCGAATGTAGATGTGAAAGTATTGTAGTTTGGCAAGTGGAAATCAGTACGATTTGAGATAAATACGTCACAGAGTATACCTCGCACCATTCTCTGAAAAAAGTATAATAATTATCTACATAATATCATGAAAATAGTTCATAAAGTAAACTAATTATATACCGGATGAAAATACTAAGTACTAAGGTTGTTACGAAAGGAAAAAGGTAAAAGAAACAGTTTTAATACGAAAAAGAAACAAAAAAAAACACCACATGGGAATTATATCCTTTAACTAATATGGAGAGAGCTATGTATAAATAAGAATTATCTTAATATATGTATAAAGATAATCGGTCGAAGTAAACGTGCTTGATAATTTCTGAGTGCTATATTAATGAAGGAATATTATTAATAATTAGCAAAAATGTAGCACACGAGTTGCCTTCTGTCAAAAACCGGAAAGGGGTGGCAAATAGCACGTATATTTACCAACCGACGGACTACGGTTGAAAACAGATATATTTTTTTACCGTTCCTTCGTAAGTATATGATGTATTATCGAGGTAGAAGAGCTGGGATGGAGATTTCATTTGAATATAGAATTGTTGACTCTGGTTAGCGTTCACAGAGAGTTTGACGGACGCGTCGAATGTCGTGTTTTGTATGGGGATCATGGAGCAATTACCCAAATAATTGTCGATGGCGTAGGCAATACCTGAACATATATCAAACATAATTATTGATATACTGAATGAAATGCTGAAAATATATCAAACATAATTATTGATATACTGAATGAAATGCTGAAAATATATCAAACATAATTATTGATATACTGAATGAAATGCTAAAAATATATCAAACATAATTATTGATATACTGAATGAAATGAAGATCAAAAATATGTTTATCAATTTTGTTTTGTAATTTCGTGTCTTACTTTTTCTATGTGTATACTCAGATTTTGTTAATATTATTAAGACTGAATGTTTTAATGGTTAAGTGTAAAATTTATTACGTGTAAAACCAGCATGCATGAATTAAAGAACTAACAAGTGTGAAATCTGAAACGAACTGGTTAATGAAAGTCAAGAAAACGTAAACATATATGATGATATATTATTAGTTATATATTTTTGGAAGGTTATATGGCCCTATATAAACAGTTGTTTGTATATATAACCCAAGCCGTTATATAAAAATCCTTTTATAAATGGCTATATAACCTGTTATGAATCACTATAACGATGATACTTCAAACTTTCTTTATAAGAGAAAAAAATGAAAATAGTTCATAAATTGACTGCAGCCGTGTATATAGATGATATAAACGTCACAATTAATTATCTAATGAAAAATGACGTTACAAACAGGTAATATAACATTCAATGTACATGTAGTATAATTATGTTAAATTTACCTGTAGAATAGTCATGTATTTCACTGACAGGGTTTGTCGCATAATACGGGTATCTAGAGTAAGGTGGTCTGTAGTCAAATCGTACCAGATTATATGTATAATCATAGTAGACCTTTAAACATAAAATATTAATTTAATATATTACATGTATTATCAAAGTTTACCTTGAAATAGAAATCGTACTGAACTTAAAGATTTATGAGTGAAAATTAAATCAAATCAGTGTGTTTATAAGCTAAAAGTAATGTACTAGTATTGTGAATAGTATTTTTGTGGTTTATGTCAGGGTTCCAAAATTATATGTTAACACTTTGTTTGAGAGACTTTCTCATGAATTGACACATGTCAGGAATAGCTTGATATAAAACAAAATGCTTACATCTGCTTCTGAAACGCCTCTGTTAATATTATCTACAATTTCTTCTCTATATGAATACTGTCCGGATAGTACTGGAACCTTTCTAGTCTGAGTTCTTCCTGGACAAACCTTTCCTTGTGGTGTCTATAATTGGTGACAATAATAACATATTTTATTACCCCTCACTTTTTTCGTAATGCTAATTTCCCATAGGCCTCTGGGAGTTATTTTTACTGTTAATGCAAGTGTACCACGTGACTAAGAATTTTGTACTGTTACATAGGTAACAGTATTTTTTAACAGTATAAAATATGGTCATGTGGTCTATTTTCTAAATAAAATGAAATAAAATGGCCGCCATTTTTTCTCTCGATTCATTCTTATTTTCGACGTTAAACCCCAATAGGACATCAATTTCTTCTCTGGAGTACCTATGACACTCATAAAATTTAGTTGTTTGCACCCGCGTATAAAATATCTTTTTGTTGAATAGTCAAAAAGTGAACATCCGTTTTCAGCGGAAGTCATTGCAATGTAAATAGTTATGTGTCAAACTGGAACATGCAGACGATTAAGCATGAAACAAAGGATTATTTAACAATTTTAATCAGTGAAACGTTGCTGATATAGTGAACAGACAAAGGATATCATCGTTCTTTTGTTCCATGCTCAGAATATTCTGGAAACAGAAGGATCAGATTTCACAGATCATAACCTTATAAATGGGTTAGTGTTTTGTTTTCTAAATAAAACCTAGCTTATTGTATGTTTGAGAGTTGTAGATAGCATCACTTGCATAAAGAATAAAGAAAACTTCTCAAGTAGGCCTAAAGTACACTTAGACTAAAACTTAAAAGGTAAGGACAGTTAAATTATTGTTACTCTTGGTTTATTTTTGTGTGACAATTTCAGATCATCACAGTATTTTTGTTCGGGGTAATAAAATAAATAACACATAGGTTTGTGAGTAACAGTAAAAATATCATCCCTCGTAAAAATACTGTTACCCGAGGCGTAGTCGCGGGTAACAGTATTTTCCTCGGGATGATATTTTTACTGTTACCCACAAACCCATGTGTTATGTAATAGAAAGAGCACTGAAACACGAGGTTATCTGATTTGTACGAGGGGGCGTAGCCCCCCGAGTATTAATCAGATTACCGAGTGTTTTGGTGTTCTTTGTCTTTTGTATCATAGTCAAACATAAAAACACGTTCCCTGTTGTTACAATATGAAACCCCGGCAAAAATGAACCAATGAACGAGCATCTAAATATGACATTTCTGTCGATTTCACTTTCACTGCCGTCACAATATGTAAACCCCAGCAAAAATGAGCCAATCAATGGGCATGCTCTGGAGTGCGGGTAACTAATACCCGCACTCCAGTTACCGCACGGTGCATGTATATGTATACGATTTAACCCTGACACATTTTCAACAGAAAGGTCTCCAAACTATGATACAATTATATAATAACATCTAACGGTGGTTTACCTGATACGGCGCATTCATACCAGTATCCACTATAATATTTATACAAAGTATGAACTTTACACACGTATGGTCGAAATGAGTTACACGTGAAACACATGGTGTAATTCTGTTGTATAAGCAGAAAAGTAAATAATTTAATTTAGCAAAACTTTTAAACAATCCCATGAATAAACAAAAGGAACATACAAAGCCTTGGAAACACGTATAATTATAGTTTATAAACCTTGGATACATATTACTTGGAGACATACAGCAACCTTAGATACACATTGTTAACCTTTGAAAATCTTGAATACTTACATCAAACACACATAACCTTGAATTCTTACATCAAATACATATAACCCTGAATACTAACATCAAATACATATAACCCAAATACTTATATCAAATACATATAACCTTGAATACTTACATCAAACACATATAACCCTGAATATTCACATCAAACATTTATAACCCTGAATACTTACATTAAATACATATAACCTTGAATACTTACATCAAACACATATATAACCTTGAATACTTACATCAAACACATATAACCTTGAATATTTACATCAAACACATATATAACCTTGAATACTTACATCAAACACAGAATCAGCGTCCCAGATATGATTCCTGTAGTCAAAGTATTCATATGTGTGATGAAAGTTTCCAGTAAGACTAAGTCCTTGTATCTCCGCCATTACTGGAACTTGAGGGGATAAATCCGGTGATGTCCAGTTGTATACTAAAATGTTAATTAACATTGTTCATTTTATTTTTGAAAGTGAGTTGTAACTAATTCGTATTGTCTTCAGGCAAAATTGTCAAACATATATCAGAATATCCAAAATGCTTGGAATGGTCGTTTATTTATAATACTACACAAATATTTCCATCGATTAAAAAAATATATATTTCATTCACTAACCGTGTATAATATTAGTTAGCTAGGCACGGGTTATATTGCAAACAGCCATTTATATACGGTCATATAACCTGTCAGAAATATCTATAACGAATTTATAATTTAACAGCATCATTTTTAGCGAGAAAAGTGAGATTTTTTTTCATAAATTGACAGCAGCCGTGTATATTATATATTATAAAGTTTTTATAATACTGCACATTTGTAACGTCGCTTTTGATTGGATAAAGGGACGTTACAAACGTGCAGTATTATAAAGTTTTTCTTTATAATACTGCACGTTTGTAACGTCGCTTTTCATTGGATAATCGTGACGTCTATAAAGTGATAAACTAGCAGACAAACAACCGTTTATAATCTGTCAAAATCTTTATAACTAATAATATACATAAAGCATCATTTTAGAGGATATAAGTGCGATAACTTCATAAATGGACAGCAGCCGTATATATAAACCTATAAAAGTCAAGATTGTCCAATGAAAAACAACGTTACAAACCTGCATTATTATAACAATTATAAATATACTGTATAAAGGTCACTATTGTGTTGCATACGGTGCAATAATAATTATGTATATAAAGTAAAAGTAATTGACTTACCAGAGAAGTAATAGTCGAGTGTAAAGTTGGCAAATAAGTTTGGCCAGAACATACAAGATTGCCACCAGTCACATTGTATCCCTCGTATAACCTTGGTTCCTTTATACATCTAAAATATAATACATCTAAAACATAATCTAAAACATGATACATCTAAAACATATCACATATTGGCATGTGTGTAATATTGTTGAGTTTTATCATTTGATAAATTCCTACTCTCACCTTTTATTTGAATAATATAGATTTAATGTCCACAATGTGCTATTTTGTTGACAAACATGTTGTGATGGAAAAATCTTACTGTATTCACTAATCTGATAATAAGAATTAAACAGGTCAGGGATATATGCATTCTAACAACTTTATGAATAATATACATTTCCTTTAATTGGTAAACTTTATCATAACAATAATCTAGTATATTGATTAACACATCTGACGTTTCTCTCAGACTGATAAACATGTTTAATAAGCCATCCATTTTAAAGTGTGAGTTCAATGCTTAAAAAAAAAACCCCCCGAAATGGAAATAAAATTTTTAAAAATATTTTCCAAACCCCCTTGACCCCCCTTCCCCCGAAAAGAAGCTTTAACTAGTTCGTATATATTTAAAGAGGTAAACCGTCGAACCCCCTTTCCCACCCCTTCATGCCAAAAATAAACTATTTCCGGGAAGGGTCTCTTCAATCTCACAGGGAAAAATTTTTTGTCTAGTGATAAAAAAATTTTTTTTAAAAATTTTAAAAAAAAAAGATTAATTTTAAAAAGTATGAATTGGGTTTATTTTCTAAATTTTCCGTAACTTCATATCCCCTTTTTATTGTCCGTAATTCATACCCTTACTATTTTAAATTTTACTTTTCGTTTTATTAAGCCGGGGTTGTTTTATAACGGGAAAAATTTATTGTTTAAATTTGAATTTTGGCTGTACCCTTTTAAAGTAAAGTTAAAGTTATAAAGTAACTTACTGACATCGTATATGAATTCTGATTTGTTGGGAGTAATCGAAAATCATATAATCCATTGAAGATTTATTCTTAGCTAAACCGGAGTGCCGCACGGTTATGATGTCATCATAGTATTCCTGCAGTAGACCAGGTTTGTTGTTTATTGATGATGTTTGCTTCTACCCGTAATTGAAACGTGTCCGGGATATTAGGTAACGGTGGTTGAGGCGTGTTAGCCGGTACTTTAAATAAAACAAAACTATAATACACTATAAGGTAACGGCGGTAGATTCGTGTTAGGCGGTACTTTAAATAAAACAAAACTATATACACTATAAGGTAACAGAAGTAGATTCGTGTTAGGCGGTACTTTAAAATAAACAAAACTATAATACACTATAAGGTAACGGCGGTAGATTCGTTATAGACGGTACTTTTAAATAAAAACAAAACTATAATACACTATAAGGTAACGGAAGTAGATTCGTGTTAGGCGGTTACTTTAAATAAAACAAAACTATAAAACACTATAAGGTAACGGCGTAGATTTCGTTTATAGACGGTACTTTAAAAAAACAAAACTATAATACACTATAAGGTAACGGAAATAGATTCGTGTTAGGCGGTACTTTTTAAATAAAATAAAACTATAATACCTATAAAGGTAAGGCGGTAGATTCGTTATAGACGGTACTTTAAATAAAACAAAAACTATTAATACACTATAAGGTAACGGAAGTAGATTCGTGTTAGGCGGTACTTTAAATAAAACAAAACTATAATACACTATAAGGTAACGGCGGGTAGATTCGTTATAGACGGTAAACTTAAATAAAACAAAACTAGTATAACACTTAAAGGTTAACGGAAGTAGATTCGTGTTAGGCCGGTACTTTAAAATAAAACAAACTATAATACACTATAAGGTAACGGCAGTAGATTCGTGGTAGACGGTACTTTAACAAAACAAAATATTATACACTATAAGGTAACGGAAAGTAGATTGTCGTGTTAGGCGGTACTTTTAATAAAACAAAACTATAATTACACTATTTAAGGTAACGGCGGTAGATTCGTTATAGACGGTACTTTAAATAAAACAAAACTATTATACACTATAAGGTAACGGAAGTAGATTCGTGTTAGGCGGTTACTTTAAATTAAACAAAACTATAATAAACTATAAGGTAACGGCGGTAGATTTCCGTTATAGACGGTACTTTAAATAAAAAAAACTATTATACACTATAAGGAAAACGGGCGGTAGTATTCGTGGTAGATTCCCGGTACTTTAAATAAAACAAAACTATTAAACCACTGTATATTAAGGAAACGGTGGTAAGATTTCCGTTATAGACGGTACTATTTAAAATAAAACAAAACTTTATACACTATAAGGTAACGGCGTTAGTTTCGTTTTGGTAGACGGTACTTTAAAATAAAACAAAACTTTAATACACTTATAAAGGTAACGGCGGTAGGATTCGTTATAGGAGACCCGGTTACTTTAAATAAAACAAAACTAAGTTATACAACTATAGTTATTAACGGAAGTTAGATTCGTGTTAGGCGGTTAAAATTTAAATAAAAAAACTATAATTTACACTATAAGGTAACGGCAGTAGATTTGTGGGTAGACGGTACTTTAAACAAAAAAAAACTATTATACCTATAAGGGTAACGGAAAGTAGATTCGTGTTTAGGCGGTACTTTTTAAATAAAAACAAAACATATAATACACTTATAAGGTAACGGCGGTAGATTCGTTATAGACGGTACTTTAAATAAAAAAAACTATTATACACTATAAGGTAAGGAAGTAGATTCGTGTTAGGGGGTACTTTTTAAATAAAAACAAAACTATAATAAACTATTAAGGTAACGGGGTAGAAATTCGTTATAGACGGTACTTTAAATAAAACAAAAACTATTATTTACATATAAGGAAACGGCGGTTAGATTTCGTTGGTAGAAGGTACTTTAAATAAAAAAAACTATTAAACACTGTAAGGAAACGGTTTGGTAGGATTTCGTTATAGACGGTACTTTTAATAAAACCAAAACTATTATAACTATAAGTAACCTGGCGGGTAGATTCTTGGTAGGACGGGTACTTTAAATAAAACAAAACCCTTAATACACTATAAAGGTAACGGCGGTAGATTCCGTTGGTAGAACGGTGGGCTTAACACTATTATCACATACGGTTAACGATGGTTGATTTGCCGGTACTTTAGATAAAACAGAACTATAATACACTAAACCAATCAATTCACATGTTAATAGAAAGTGCCTTTTTAATTATTTTAGAAAATGATGAAACTGCATGATAGCTGATTTAATTATAGTCTATGTATTTTTTTAATTTTTTGTGTTGCTATACATGATGGCGGGGGGGGGGGAGGCTGTATTGTGACTTTTACTATCTCTTGCTGTTGGCGAATGGATACTATGTTACTTAACAAGATGGATCGAGAATGGTCGGTTTGCTGGGTGCACAGGTGGAAGGGTAGTTGTAATGGGCGGGGGCCTGTCGAGTACAGTCACTACAACACCCAGACAAATAACACGGATATACTTAGAGGTAACCTCTGAAAAATAAAATCAATATGTGAACAAGTTTTTTCCTTAGGGGGATAGAGGTTATTTAACCACCATTAAAAGTTTTCGTTGAAAGATTTCTTTCGTGAAAAAACGTTAAAATACTATACATTAATGTTTTTTTACCCTATAGATGTTGATTATATATATTGTATATGAAAGTATTGAAAACACTTAAGATAGTGGCTTGAATCGGAATTTACTCCTCGCAATAAAAGAAATATACCCCCCAAAAAAATTTGATAACAGAAATAATAAACATAGCATCATAGTTAAAGAAAATCTTATAGAAATATTGTAACATCATAATCCTTTTTAAAAAAAATGATCTTTGGGGATTAAAAGTAACCCTTTCCCAAAAAATTAAAACATCGCTTTATTAAAATATCGAAACCGATATATTTATTTTCAATTTTACATAAAAATTTTAAGAATGGCGCGGGGCACGTTAAACATGAAGTGATTTTTGGACTCTGTCCCGGGGGGGGGTTTCAAAACTTTTTTAAAGTGTTTCTCTGACCAACAGGGACAAAATGTAGATGGTTTTAATCTAAGAAGGGGAAAATAAATAACATGCTTGTTTTCATGAAAACAAAGAATTTGATAACAGACATTTTAAAATTCAGTAGTCTGCTAAAAAAAATGAATACAGATTTTAACTTATTGTAATAAAATAATCATCATAAGACTGACCTTAAATATAACAATACATTAACATTTTTTTCTGTTAAACGTTAGGTAAAAATACGTGTGTCTAAACTTATTGAAGTTAATACCGACACACTAACATATTTTACTTGATCAAATAATAAATAACTTAACAATGAGATCATCATTTTGTACAAAATATTTCCAAAATTCAATGCCTGTAAATCAATTAATTAATAGATTAATTAATTGATTGATTAGGAGCGTCGGTTAATTAAAATAAAAATGCTACGAAATGATGAATCTTTGTATTTAAAATTGTTTTAGTTTTGTGTCTATGTTATTTTAAATAAATTTATTTCATGTGGCAATTTATGGGTATTTTTTAAAAAAAAGGGCCAAAAAACAACAAAAATTTAAATTCAAAAAATGATAAATCCCTTTCCCAATTCAAAAATCGCTGGCAAAAAATTGGGGAATTTCCAATTTTAAAAAAAAGTGGAAAAAAAAAAATTTCAGTCCCGGGAAAACCATTACAATAAAAAAGGGCCAAATTTGTAAAGAAAAAATTAAATAAAAAACACAAAAAAAATAGATCTTTAAAAAGGGGCCTTGTATGATTTTTCTTTTAAAAATTTAAATTTGCCCAGAGAAAAATATTTACATAAACCTTTAAGGGCGAAACATCGTGTCGGCAAATTGTTTTCCCCTAAAAATTTATTTAAATCGGACAAAATTTAAAGTTTCTTTATAAAACGATTATTTTAAAAATAAACCCCTTGATATAGGGGTTTTTTTATTATTTTTTTATAAAAAACTGTATGGGTTTGAAAACGTCCCCTTTTTTTATGGATAATCGTGGACGGTTATTTTTTATTGTTATAAAAAAATTTTTTTGACGGGGGTTATATGGCCAATATACCGGGGGGTTTGAAAATTTAAAACCC